CCAATGTTTGAAAGAAGGCCTGGGGCAAATTGTTCCATTCTTGGACAAGAGCAGCTTCTAAAGCAGCAATGGTGTGCATCTGTGGTCTCCGATACAGACGGCGTCCAATCTCATCCCAGACATGTTCTATTGGTGCCATGTCCGGAGACATGGCTGGCCAGTTCAAGACATTGATGTTGTTAGCAGCCAGGAAGTCCATACTAAAACGGGCGGTATGTGAACGTGCATTATCCTGTTGGAAGTGCTGAAGTTGTGGGTGCGCTCGAAACATCGGAACAACAATTGGTTGCAAGACATCATCACGGTAGGCTACAGCATTAACGCGACCCCTGCAAATGTGTAAGGCGGTCCGGTGATGAAATGTGAAGCCTCCCCACATCATTACACTTCCCCCACCCCATCGATTCGTTTCGAAGACGCAGCAGTCTGCAAGACGTTCCTCAAGACGTCTCCACACACGTTGACGGCCATCAGCGTGATAAAGATGAAAGCGACTCCCATCACTGAAGAGCACACCTTGCCAGTCTACTCTTCTCCATGTCTGGTGTGTCCTTGAGCCCATATCAAACGCCGCTGACGGTGATGATCCCTAAGGATAGCTCCAACATAAGGTCGTCGTCGAGTCCTACTTCTCTTAGACGACGTCTTACGGTGTTGGCACTTACTGGTCCTTGTCTTTCGACGACTGCCGCACATGTTTGAGTCGCTGGGCAGAATCTGTCACGCAGATGAGTGACCCGGATGTAGCGGTCTTGAGCCTGGGTTGTAACGCGTTGTGGACCAGGACGTTGACGGTCACGCGTTGATCCAGTAACTCGAATACGTTCCACCTACCTTACAGTAGTGGACTGATGACAATTGAGGTGTCTGGCAATAATAGTACGCGTAGACATGCCAGCCCTGGACATTTCCATGGCTTCATTCCGTTGATTTTCAGTAAGTCTCGGCATCTCTAGCTCGATTCCTTCACACGTCCAACAACAAATTACGACAAATTCACGTTTCACAGTTCATGTACAGCACATTAAGTTGAAAACATGCTTTTAAAGGGCTCACACACAATGCTGCAGGTGAATATTGGGTTTTTCATGTGCATCTCATGCAATTTTTTTTTGTGCACACGGGCCGAAATTTTTTGCGTTTGGGAGCATTGTGTGAAACAATAGTTCATAGTATTGCATAATATTATACATACAAAACCAACTAGTAATAAAATATTTGGGAAAAAAAGTGATGCGTTTTCCATGGCGCTCAGTAATATAACGGTATCTACTTAAAATGATCATTTAAATACTTAAAAGAGATTGAATTGATTTCATTATTCTTTTATTATTATTTCTTTTTTTTATACCGGAATAGTATTATTAAATTTACATTAGCACTATTAGATGTCGATCTACGGCTGTTTTTATTAATAATTTGTTTAGTGAAGCCGAATGATAAAAATTGCGTTAAGTCTACGTCGATCGAGATTTTGCCGTGGGTAACAAAACTCCGTCAAATCAAATAGCCCAGTGACGTGTAGAATAGATCAAATGGCTTGCTATGTGTCGCAAATTATTCGTTTAACGGCTATGTATATGAGTAATATGAAAAAACTAATGATGAGAGATTTCATTTAGATTAGATCTACTTGCGCAACACATCAACGCAAATGTCTAGCCTAGACTAGTGCAGATCACGTCGGTTCTAAATTCTACGTCGCTTGGCCTAGACTCGTGTATTCTGAGCGGACTGACACAATCATGCAGCTGGTCCAGCTAGTTTTAATAGTTAAAGCAAGAATTTCATATTTTCTAAGAAAGTCAAAACATAATTATTTCTATATCTTTTGCTCAGTAGGCTGTCAACTCAATATTATAGGATCATAGGTATCATTATGGCACTTATAAAATCATTCACACCGGAAATAATAACACAATTACCACCTTTGTTGTTCTACCCCCCCCCCCCATGGAAAAAATATCTGCAAACATTTGAATTAGAAGTTAAAAATGATATTTTGGCCAATTTCTCAACTGGCAATAGTGAATTATAGGAATAATAGGATTATTCTGTAACAAGGTAGGACTGTTTATAGATACCATCTATTTTAAAGCTTTACTTTAATACATTTTAAAAATATAACTTAAAAACATGAAATTCACTCGGCACAGCTGCAGTCTGAGTGTGTTTTGAAATGAACGTCGCCACTTACATCGCGGTCGTCAACAAAGTCCATGCCTACATTGCCGGTAATCATATTCGAGGGGCTTTCATATTCAACTTAATAATAATAGTCTCTGTTACTACATGATGTATGTATAGGTGCGCGTGTTTTACATACATGTAAATATAGTTGGTGTTTTTGTTGTTTTATAGCCATTGATAATGCTGTTGCGTAGGTAGCCTAATGTTTTGTTTGTATTTGTATGCTGTCTCTAATAGCCTAATGGGGTGTTAAGATACAATATAATTTTATCTGATCTTATATTAGCCTTAGAAGAAGCAATTGACGATTTTTATATCCCTTCCACATACCCGGTTGAGAGTTAAAATAATAGAACTTACCTTCGGCACAAACCAAAAAACCAATATGGCGTCCCAGAAGCATCTTTCGCGGCAACATTTAGAGTCACGTTATCAGTTTCCGCGGGAAAAAAACCCGCTAGTGTTACCAGATAATTTACTGAAGAATTAACCGGAATATTTGTCAGCTTCTAGTTGTTTTACAATAAGCCTTAAATAAAATGTATTATAGTTTGTATTGTGTTATTAAATCTCGATCTACGTCGTTAACCAATACAACTGTACCCAAGATCATACGTCAATTTCTATAGATAAGCGCATTGCAATTCCTGTTTTATGCACTGAATTTGTGTAGCAAACGCTGCAAACTACACAATATGCATTAATCACCATTTTCTGTGCTTTGTGTTATTATTTCAATTGAAAAACACCGGATGTAAAAACAGCGACATTTAGGTGCGGGAGAGGCATCTCGTTTACAGTTCATAATACATTTTTATAATACTTGACGGACGCAAACGCCTTTTCTTGCTTTCCCAACCCGTGTGCTCAGCAACATGAAAGCAAGCCAGTATTGCCTATTTAGTACACCAATAACTTTAATGCATTAAAGGAAATTATGATTTCCGAAAAATTATAAAACAAATAAATGACCGATGTCGGACACCGCCGAGTGGGACCCGACGAAATGTTTCAATCCGCGATCAATGCAGTACAAATTCGCCGTGTTCAATGACAAGAAAGTGAAAATGTTTTATTATACTTAAAAATCATCGAATTTGGGGCTCTTTATTTGACTGACAAGAAAGCAAAATATTTTCTTCCAAATAACATTCTGAAAGTTCCGCTTTCACTTTCTCTCGGGATTTTGAATGTGACTTTTTACCTAAATGGCTGCCGGGAACAGGGAATGTCAGGCAATGTCATGACCTTGACTCAGGTTACAACCCCAAAATTGACCTTGTGGGTGCGGGTCACGATTTTGACCTTGAGATTTATTCGTGATATCTGGGTGGTACATGAAGTTTTGGGACTTTTTCGATCCCAAGGTCAAGGGTCAGGTCAAAGGTCAAGGCCCCATTCGAAAGGTCAATGAGTTGCCTATCCATGGTCATGACCTTTGATTTGCCGCGCAGACCAGGGGCCCCACCATGTGCCCGGGAGCATCGAACTCAGTAGATATTTTGGTGACCTTGACTCTTTCAGATGACCTTGACCTACCGGGGTCATGTGGACCAAGATGACATTTTGGAAGGTCAAGGTCCAGTGGTCCTGACTTAATTAGATGGGCCCCTAGGGTTCAAAAACCAAAATACTTCCGGGGCCCCTAGCGGGTCAAGGTCACGACTTTTGGTTGGCGATTTTAAAAAATGAAGAACAAATGTTGGGTCAGTCTATCGGGTCACCAAACCCCGGGGCGATCGGAAGACATTTTTGGGGCAAATTTCCCTAGAAAGTGAAATAGCTGAGCATTACAGCGGTGTGGTCTAAGGGCAGATAACTCGCCCATCCCAAATCGGATCCGACGACCTTGAGGTCGTGGCTATTTAAACTAAATTGACCCCTGGGAGTCTCGTGGTGACCTTGGTTTGACAATCAGAGGTCAAGGTTCGAACTGCTATATATGACGTTTCGATAACGTTATGACAATGTTGTGACAACGTTTTAACAACGTTGTGACAACAACCTGTATATGAAGTTTTGATAACGTTGTGACAACGTTGTGACAACAACCTGTATATGTCGTTTTGATAACGTTTTGAAGACGTTGTGACAACGTTGTGACCACGTTGTAACAACGCCGTGACAACAACCTGTATATGACGTTTTGATAACGTTGTGAGAACGTTGTGAGAACAACCTGTATAATGACGTTTTGGTAACGTTTTGAAGACGTTGTGACAACGTTGTGACAAAGTTGTAAAACCGCTGTGACAACAACCTGTATATGACGTTTTGATAACGTTGTGACAACAACCTGTATATGACGTTTGAATAACGTTTTGATGACGTTGTGACAACGTTGTGACAACAACCTGTATATGACGTTTTGATAACGTTTTGAAGACGTTGTTACAACGTTGTGACAACGTTGTAACAACGTTGTAACAACGCCGTGACGACAACCTGTATATGACGTTTTGATAACGTTGTGACAACGTTGTGACAACAACCTGTATATGACGTTAGAATAACGTCTTGATGACGTTGTGACAATGTTGTGACAACGTTGTGACAACAACCTGTATATGACGTTTTGATAACGTTTTGATGACGTTGTGACAACGTTGTGTCAACAACCTGTATATGACGTAAATACAACGTCGAATATTGGTCGAAAACACGTTGTACAACGTCACGACCAATATTGACGTTGTCACAATGTTGTAACAACGTTGCGTGCCCGCTGGGTATGTGGATATGCTGATATTTTTAGGGTAATATATAGTACAGTTACTTATTTGTTCGTTTTTTTTTTCTTTCTGATTAAGATAAACCAACTTGGACGATTAGGTGGCAAAGATGCAGTCCTGTACACCGTTAAGAACATTATGAAAAATCTCCTTGCTACTGATGTACAACAGCTCTACATCTGGATAGGACAAAAGGGCAAGCGTGAATTTGGGGCACTAGCTACAGCTAAAATTGTTTTTAGTAAGTAATATTGATGCTACTTCATTATTGGAAATATATGCATATCCATGGTACGATGGGGTTTATTTTAATGTTTTTATATGCTCTCATCAAAATATCTTCTAAGCCTTTTGAACCGGGGGCGGCCTATGTGCGCACTATATCAGAAGGTCTGTCATTGAGTCAACTGGTGTGGTTTTGATTCCCCGGTTGTACGTGACAAGGAGTAGGGTCGCCTGTCCAACCTCGTGGGTTTTCTCCGGTTTCCTCCTACTGATAAAGACTCCCTACGCGCAAGCCAATTATTGAAATAAAATTGAACAATATGTTAGTCCCGAAATCACCTAGTTTGTGTCGAGTGGACGTTAAACCCCATTTTTCTCTCTCTCTCTTTTGAACCCTTCGCATATTTCATGTACAATTTAGATTTGAGTTGTATGTGTTTTGGCATATTCCTGAAGCAATGGCCCGAGAAATCCCTCTCTGGCCATTGCTGGGTTGGCTTCTGATACTTGAGCTTTTGAGGGAGTTTGTCTATTCTTCCCGTTCAATCAAATCTATCTCAAGTACAGCAACATGACAGCCCTTCGTTTAATCTGGGTCTTCCCTAAAACTTTGGACAGTGATTTAAGGTATTAAACACGGTGAAAGTATTTTCGTCTCCAAACAGTATTGTTTACATTGTTTTCGATTTGATAGCCGCGTTTGTCACGCAATTAGTTTTTCTACAACATTCTGCTATGCACTGGTTAATTGGGCATAATAAAATCGTGAGTCATGACGTAACGTTATGTAAACATATTTGGTCAAATTTGGAGCCGTTTTAAGCGTAATGCTTTTGTAACGCAGTTCGCTATTGGTTGTTAATCGGACAATTGACCAGTCATAATTTGGAACATAAATTTGTCTTCGTTAAAGCAGTGTTTAATGGGATTAGGTATAATCAAACGAAACACTGCGAGGAGTATGGTGTTTTGGGGTCTAAGGGAAGATAATATCGGTAGAGTGGTCCTACTTTGTGAGTTGCACATCAACAGACTAATGTGCTTTCTTTTTAATTACAGAGTGGAAGATCCCAAAGAATTTCAACCGTCTTAACTGAGAAAGCATAATAATAAAACATGAAACCAAATAAATAGTTTTGTGATTTTATTAGACTTATTTGGTACTTATTTGGTACTTATTGTTTACCTGAGCAATAATGCTCCTTCCCAAACACAGAATTGAACCCAGGAAATGTTCTCAAAAATGCAACCGGACTTCTGAGATGGTAATGTGTTCTTTATGATTTTCATGTAACCCATGGTACACATGCTGTTCACCGGGACCAGCCCTATAAAATTCACCCCCATACTGGTTGAATCATTCACACTACAACGTCCGCAGCATGCTATGACTCGTGACAGCTCACAGGAACCAGGCGCTTGGAAGACTCGACGCTGGCCACACTGCCCAAGCCGTTGCCAATTACTTCCAGATCAATGTTCGGACCATCTACAGGCTTCAGCAACGCTTTCCGGCAACCAGCACCACGGATGATTGCCAACGAACTGGTAGACCAAGGGTTACCACAAGGCGACAAGACCGCCATATTGTGTGACAGCACGTGCAGAATCCGTTCACACAGGCATCTGAGACAGCACGTCAGACAGTGGGAACACACTGAAGACCCATCAGTACCGATACAGTGCGCCAACATCTCAACAGAGAGAACATCCATTGCCGTAGACCGATCCTCAACCCTCGCCATCGAAGTGAACGTCAACAGTTTGCCCAACAACACGAGAACTAGCGACACAGGCAATGGAGAACTGTTCTGTTCACAGATGAGAGTCGGTATTGCGTATAAACTGCAGATGGCAGGACCAGAATATGGCGTCGACGTGGCCAGCGTTATTCTGACCAATGTGTCATGGAACGAGACTCATGGGGAGGTCCAAGAATAATGGTTTGGGGCGGAATCGGCCTGAAGCAGAGAGTGGGTCCTGTTGTGTTCCAAAATCTTGGTCCAGGGAGAGGAGGCGGCATCATAGCAGTGCGCTACATCGATCAAGCTCTGACCCCACGTCATACCACATTTCGCACGTCATCGAAATGTTTTCCAGCATGACAACGCCTGTGCCCACACCGCCAGAGTTTTTCAGGACTTTCTACAGCAGAACGGTGTCAACGTTATGCACTGGCCAGCCCTTAGTCCAGATTGAACAGCTGATGGATTGCGCCAGGCTTTTCTGATGGTGTGGTTCCAGGTGCCAATGGCGTTCATCAATCTTCAGGTCTACTCCATGTACAGACACTGCGCTGCTGTTATTGACACTCACAGTGGACACACCAGATACTGATGTATAGACTGTGTACAGACTCTATACCTTCTCGTAATGTCTTGGAATTGTGATAAATTAGTCACTAATGTGTCAACATACTGTTGACAAAAAATTGCTTTGATCCATTTTTAGTAAGTCATTTCCTAGAATGATTTGATAAAATTGCCTGTCTGATTTTTTGCTGTTTAGTATATTAAATTAGTTTACTATCCATATATATCTTGTCATTTCCACACCACAAATAAGCTCTGTACAGCATTTCTTAGAATCCAACAGGAGTCCCATATGAATCCCATATTACATATCATGGCATATCCACAAAGATCCCATTTTCTACCCATATTAGATTTATTTGCACCCCACTGAGTCCCATATTACATTTCTTAACATGGCCATATAGATCCCATGCAAGCCCCATACAATACCCATATTATTTTAAATGACTTACCCATATTAGACCCCACACAAACCCCATTTAGTACCCATATGGATCTCATATTATGCCCATATTACATTTATTTGTACCCCACACAAGTCCCATATTACATTTCTTAACTTGGCCAAATAGGTCCCATGCAAGCCACATATAACACCCATATTATTTTAAATGATTTACCCATATAGACTCCACACAAACCCCATTTTTTACCCATATGGTTGAGCCCATTAGGATCTCATAACGATGTCGGGTGCAAAAATGTTTGGGTCCCATATGGGCTCCCCATAATGGCCCCATATTACATGACAAGGTACCCATCAATGAATGTTATCAGGGCAATGTGTACACGGGACCTTGGTTTTTATTACCATCCGAACAACTAGATGGCTGTCCTTGTCAGGCCCTCCGTCCTGCACAACTAACCCACTAACAAGAGGAAACTACACCGGAAAATCCTGAGGAACTTTCTTGGCCAACACCGGGAACGAACCCGTGACCTCGAGGCTCGAGAGCCAGCGTCTTACTCACTTAGCCACTGTGGCTCCTTTATCCACTGAGAAATCATTCTACTGAAACATAACGTGAGGCACAGAAAGGGATAAATGAAAGAGCAGGGGTGTTTGTCACATTTCGATAAGAAATACTATTTTTCACATATGGCTTTATAATACTTGATAGAACTGTGATGTAAGTCACTTATTAACATCTTTCCTCAGTGTATCGGTTAAGATCAGTCTAGCCTCGGCCCCTCGACCAAAACTGTTCTGATTTCCACCAATACACAGAGGAAAGTGTGTTACTAACTACTACTTAACCTTCGGGCAACGGCGCTCGTACTCACGTCTTCATGAATTAACACATTGGGAGAGGTCAGAATAAATCGGTGTATGGGAGAGGGCAGAACAAATCGGTGTATCGGTGAAGATCAGGGCAGTTTTGGTCAGGAGCCATCTCACCCCGGCTGGGGCCCCTTGACTAAAACTTCACCGATAAACCAAGGAAAGTGTGCGCAAATATTACCAGTTTAATCCCAGTCTGCTATATTCCAATTGACAATTGTTGCCTGCACAATCTTGTGGTTTTTCTGCAGTATCTCCAGTATTGTAGTTTATAGAATTTGTTTCATGTTTTCTAAACAAATGCACTAACATGCACACTTGATGAAAGTACCAAGCCAATAATTTAATATTATTGGGTTACTGTGTATATATTATTATATAAAACAATCATTCAGATTTTTAATTTATTTCCACAATGATTGATACAATGAGTTTCACTATTAGATGACTAAAACTAAACCTCAAATTGATGATAGCAAGTCCAAATTTTTATTAGGTATATGTCAACCAATATTCACAAATAAAATTGCAGAAACCATAGAGCAGAAAACAACTCTGGACAGTAATATACACATGTTATTTTTGATGGACTTGTTAGTTATACAATTCCAATCACCATAATTATATGTGAAAGTTTATTATTATTACAAACATGATAAATATGATTAGAATGGATATGAAGTTATCAATCTCTAATAGAATATTACTAATGTTAACATTTAAAATGTAAAAAAATGGCAGATTAACACTCAACAATAAGATGGTGATCAGCTTAATTAATAATACATGTATTTTAAAATCTAACACCAAGCTTCACTACTGTATACAAAGCATATACTGTTATATCTACAATAAGACCTAATTTAGTGACATGTAACCTGGCTGTAGAATTAAACTATTCAAATTAATTAGTATCAAAGATTATCCAACAATACAGTGTGTTCAAACGTCAAGTTTGTGTATGTCTATAATTTTATTTTACTTGTGCTTGTTGTCTATGTTATATTCTTTGTAAAGTGCCACAGAGCAGTCAAACTGAATGAAGGTTCAGTGCTCTAGAAAATGAACCAGACAAATATCTGCAAGCTTGGAATAAATTGCCAAATACTGATCAACTTTTAAAGAAATCTAATCACTCATTTCCATGTCAACCTCTTGTTTGTTGTCTTCATCTAAATTTATGGTCGAGGGAAGGGGTGGAGGTATCATTATAGGTGCAGGGGGTGGAGGTATTAAAGCTAATAGTCTATCTCGTTCTCCCCCACTACTGTAGCCTTTCTCTTCTTCATCATAATCTCGTACAACTTTTAGATCTTTTGAGGACTTTTCCTCACGATCTCTTTCCCTTTCTCTTTCTTTATCAACTTTCTTTTTTTTACTTCTCTCCCTACTTTTACTACGATCTCTATCCTTCTTCTTTTCTTTTTTACTCCTGTTAAAATAAAAAGATAGGTTGCCAGGCAACGAAATACATACCCACAGCAGCTAAATCGTTCGAGCGGTCTATAAGGGTTGCTGCATATTTATTCTTTTGTAGGTAATTGGGGGCATTAACAAGACATTTTCATACAGATCAGATTATAATTTTTGTCGTTTGAGGGTTGACTAGGTTCTACAAACTGAAACCAGGGCCTTAACTCTGGAAGTAATTACCGAAAATTTTGAAATTTGACAGGCAATTTTGTTTTACTTATTTAAATATTGCAATTGCATATAAATTTCCTACAGATTAGATCATTACTTTTGTCATTCAAATGTTCACAAGGTTCACAAAGTAAAACAAGGACCATAACTCTAGAAATAATTGACGGAAATTGCTGAAATTCAATAAACCTCCGTTTCACAAAATTAAATGATGCATATAAATTTCATACATATCGAATGATAACTTTCATCAACTGAGCATTAACAAGATCGAACAAAGTGAAACTAGGGCCATAACTCTAGAACTGATTATTGTAAATTGCTGAAATTCAATAGGCTTTGTGGTTTCACTAATCTAAATACATTTCATATATATATAAATCTGATAACTTTTGCGGTTAGAGCGTTCACAAGGTTCAACAAAGTGAAACAATCTACGGAAATTGCTGAAATTCAATAGAATTCTTCATTTCACCAATTTAGATAATGCATATAAATTTGACAAAGATCTGATTATAACTTTTGGTGTTAGATCGTTCACAAGGTTTAACAAAGTGAAACAAGGGTCATAACTCTAGATGTAATAAATGGAAATTATTGAAAGTAAATAGGCTTCTTCATCTTATTAATGTGAACAACATATATCAATTTTAAAACATTCGCATGATAACTTTTGGCATTAAGAGCGTTCACAAGAAACTGTGGACGAATGACTGACGGACGGGGGCGATGGCAATATATGTCCACATTTCTATGTGGGCGTATAACAAAAACAAAAATAATAAATCTGGACACTTAAATCTACAAAGATTTTTAATAAATATCTTGTTCACATTCCAAACTAAACCCTGGAAACACGTTGGTTCAGTCATAAGGCCTGGCTTACTAACCAGAAGGTCAATGGTTAGATCCAGGCATTGGCAGAGAAAGTTTACTTTTTATTATCTTAATCAGTGGTGCAGGACGAAGGGCCTGACAAGGAACAGGATCACTCATTTGGACGGGATGGGAATAAAAACGAGATCCTGTGTAGATGTTGGCGTGCACTTAAGAGAGCCCTTGACAGTCGGAAATCAATTGCTGTCGAGGCAAAATTTGCCTCATACATAGCACACTGTTAGCTATGTTGGTGTAGAAAAGTAGGAGGTTAAACCCCCTTTCATCCCTTACTAAACCAGACTTTCTAAAGTATAGTTCTGAAGAGTCAAGAGAGGAAAAAGTCCTCTCAACACACAAGGTCATATTACTTTTAGAACAATTAAAATGACTATAACTTATTAGGTGTCACAACTCCATTTCCTGCGTTGAAAGAAAATCGTTTTTTTAAACTCAACGTCAAACAGTGGCTACTTAAGCTTTTGTAATAATTTAGAAATATTTTGGAAGCAGATATCCTGTTCTTTGTTTGATATAATTTTTTAAATACGTGTTCGTTTTAGTTATTTCATAAGCATAAGTTGAAAAACGTCAATTTCGCATGTTTTGACGTTACGCTGACAAATTTTGAAATGAGGATACCCCACTTCAAATGCTCGGCGAGGTCACTCATTATTAATATTTCTTTTTCATTTTAATATCATTAGAAAGATAATTGAACGATCTTGCGATCGCTTTTTTTTTTTTAAGTTGAACGCTTCAATTCACATAATCTTAATGCTATTAAAATCAACAAAATTAGAGCATATTAAGTGACCTCGTCGAGCATTTGAAAATGGACATCGAAAAATGTTTTGGAAAATAATCACGTAGTTCGGCATGTGATGACGTCATTTCAACACGAGAAGAAAAAAATAATTTCAAGTTCCTATATTCGCTAACTCTTTGATTTGGGTCAAAATTAAAATTGCTGATATCACTGGAGTTTATATTATTTCACTGCAAATTCTATGTCTAGAGAAAAAGCCAGAGTTGAGATCTTCCACTTTCGACACAGTATGCCAAAAATGAAACATTTGCATTATCTTTCCAAACAAAAAGTACATTACCCACTTCAATACATATTTTTTAAAAAATAACTAGAAAAGGTCTGGATCCTTTAGGGTTAATTTCATTTACATTCAGGTGTTATTTTAACAATGCAAGGTAATCTGAGAATAAGGTTAGGTATCCATAGCTATTCCATACCACATAAAAAATGGAATCCAGAAAAGGACATTTTACTGATTTTGCTGTATAATTCCATAACAGTGGTTAATAAAGAATGGAATATTGACAATTAAAAAGAAACTGTACATACTGTAATAATTCAAATTACATATACCTGTGTCGAGAACCACTTCTAGATCTAGATCGACTTGATCTTCTACTTTTCTTGGATTTTCTTAAAAAGAAACAAGCCAACAGTGAGGCTCATGTCCCCAGCCGAAATCCCAAAATAAATAGATAACACATATTAATTAATAGCACATTTATTTTTTTCAAAAGTATCAAGCAATCAAATTGGTTATCAACTATGCACTAAGTTACATCACTCTCTATCAGATAGAATCAAAGTTGTCTTGTCCCAAAGCATCGACCAATGAAATTGCTTAGTTCTGTTTAGCTTTATCTCGAAATGTTAATCATTGAACTCAGTTAATACATTCACCTAATGAACATTAAGTTTAAACATTCTACCTCAATTAAAAGCAGAGTTGTTATGTTCCAATGTCTTGACCAATCAACTTGCTTATCGATCCTTAGCCTAAGCAGAAAATTCTCACCATCAAACTTAGTCAAGGTAATGATATAATGAATATATACTCGGAGTTTCATCACTCTCCCTTAATTATAACCAAAGTTATTGTGCCCCAAAGCATCAAACAATCAGATTGCTTATCTTTGCTTACCCTAAGCAGAAAATGCTCATCTTCAAACTCCATCAAGCCATTCACCTAATAAACACCTACACCAAGTTTGAACGTTCTAGTCTAGCTCAATTGTGTTCCAAAGTCTCGGCAAATCAAATTGCTTATCGCTCTGCTTACCCTGAGCAGAAAATGCACATTATCAAACTTAGTCAAGGTAATGATGTAATGAAACTAGACACCAAGTTTCATCACTCTTACTTAATTAGAACTAAAGTTATCGTGTCCCAAAGCATCAACCAATCAAATTGCTTATCTCTGCTTACCCTAAGCAGAAAATGCTCATCTTCGAACTCCATCAAGGCATTGACCTAATAAACACCTATACCAAGTTTGAACATTCTAACTCAATTAGAAAAAGTTATTGTGTCCCAAAAAGTGTGACAGACAGACAAACCCATTTTAATAGTCCCCTGCTTTCTTCGAAAGGCGGGGGACAACAAATACATGTATCAAATAAGTTAATCAGAATGTGTTCAAGAGTTTAATCAAATATTAAGGAGATGCACATTGTAATATTAACACAATAATAATTATGTTAGATTCATAAATTTTGTTTTGGACTATTAAACAAAAAAGTATATTTTCCCCAAAAAAATGGGAATACAAACAAGTTGTAATGCTTCTGTTTTTAACTTTTAATTTAATATCAACAAATTTTCCCCCAAACAAATGAGAACAGTGCCAATAAAGTTGTGTTCGTATGAATTCTGCCTAGTCTGTGCAGAAGAGTAGGAAGTTAAATCCCATTTCATTTCTTGTGAATTATAGTCCTGTGAAATGATATTAAATGCATAAGCTTATCAATTACAAAACATACTTTGGAGATTTTGATCGTCTCCGCTTAGGGCTTGCTCTTATGGGTGATCTGCTTGGGCTACGACGCTTTGGGCTCAAACTTGGAGACCGTTTCTTGATTGGTGAAGGACTTCTACTATGTGATGATCTGCAATTAGAATTCTAACCATTAAAATATATCTTTTTATTCTATATTTTTATCGACCTGCATGCTTGTATCTAAATTCTGACACATTTTTCTAAATTAGATCCCAGGGGTTTTAGAATATGAATTTCAACAACCTAAACCCTATAAATGACTTGAAGGTACAACAAGCTAGATCATTCACACATATCTCAAATGTAAATTTATTTTAATGTAGGGACTTGTTATTATGATATCAAGTACACGTGAGTATAAAAAGATAGGGTGCCAGGCAACGAAACATACGCCCACAGCAGCTAAATCATCCGGGCAGTCAACAAGAGTTGTCGCATATTTTTACTTTTTTCGGTAATGAAACATTTATAATACACTAAAATCTGATTAAGAGCAACAACTCAGAAAACCATTAGAATTTGTTTGTTTTTTATAAAGTTCTGCCCCATGCTAACGTTTTGTATACAAAACTTTTAATATCATGGATTTAGCTGTTCCAAGATACTTGTTCGTCTCAAGATCTTAAACTCTGGGTATCAATCTGAAGTCAATCGGATGATAACTTTAGCCTTTAGAGCGTCACAAGATTTTGCAAAGTGATCAAGGGCCATAACTTTGTCAGTAATTATCGGAAATCGTTGAAAATCAATAGGATTCTTCGTCTCATGACCTTAAACACTGTGTATAAATTTAAAGTCAATCGGATATTAACTTTGGCCTCTAGAGCGTCCAAAAGGTTTTTCAAAGTGATCAAGGGCCATAACTCTGGCAGTAATTATCGGAAATCGCTGAAAATCAAAAGACGCCTGCGTCTCATGACCTTAAACACTGTGTATAAATTTAAAGTCAATCGGATATTAACTTTGACCTCTAGAGAGTCCACAAGATTTTTCAAAGTGATTAAGGGCCATAACTCTGGCATTAAATATCGGAAATTGCTAAAAATCAATAAGCTTCTTCGTCTCATGACCTTAAACACTGTGTATAAATTTAAGATCAATCGGATATTAACTTTGGCCTCTAGAGCGTCCACAAGATTTTTTGAAGTGATCAAGGGCCATAACTCTGGCAGTAATTATCGGAAATCGCTGAAAATCAATAGGCTTCTTCATCTCAAGACCTTAAACACTGTGTATAAATTTAAAGTCAATCGGATATTAACTTTAGCCTCTAGAGCGTCCACAAGCAATTGTGGACGCCGGACGGACGGGGGCGACGACAATATACGACCACATTTAAATGTGGGCGTATAAAAAAACTCATTATTATTAGTATTACTATATTTGGGACCAGTATTTTGTTTATTAACAGTTGATTGTGCAGTCTTGAAACTTATATTTAATTTTTTTCTGTAAGCTATATAGTTTAAGTATATTTAATAAACCAGAAACCTTCTGCTAACTTTGCCATCAGTAATCAAAAGAACAGATTCCAAAATCAACCCAATCCAAAATTCTCTTTGAACAAAAGTCATAAAAGTTATGCACTCTGAACCAAGATTTTAGCGATTGAATTTTACTGAAGTCGGTACGATAAAAAACATAGTCTCTATTATCCATTTCATGATTAAATAAGAATGAAAGTTGAGCCGAAAATCAGAACCTAATCGAATAAATATCGAGGCTAGTGATGCCATTGAGAGTTGATTATGACTGGATAAGTTAATTAATGTCTAATTAATAATTTAGATAACATTTCAGGCCTAAAGAAAGACCTGCAATAGGCAGATTTAGCTCTTGCCTAATGTATGTTTAAAATTAGAAGTGTCAGTTTATGAAGTTTGATGTGTAGATTTGTTGTGTGAAGTGGGTATCTTTATCAAAATGAAAATTAACTAGAATGGACATATTATGTAAACCCTTTTGCTATACAACTTTCATATATGAAATTTGCTTGAAATGTCTTCAGTGGTTCAATAGCATAAGTCTAAATGTAAATTGGTAGGAAGACAGACATCAATGATGACATAGAGCAGATGGTTAAACATAAAATATATAGTAGGAAATAAATGCCGTTCAATGATTAAGTTGCCCCATATTTTTGAATAGAATAACCTTAAAAAAATATGAACATAAAATTACAATACAATACATCATTGTGATCTGGATACATAACCATATAAACATCATTTTTTGCACTTAATTCAAGGGGCACATTTTCAACAATCTTTAAATTTTAACATAGCTGCCATTATATATATTACACTTGCAAGACAATGATGGAAATGAGCTGGTGTTATTTAGTAACGTTTAAATAATGCACATGCTAAAGTAGCAACCCCAGGCTGGGCGATAGGGCCGTATTTAAACTAAGCTGTGCAAGCAGTGCAGTTGTACAGATTTTAGGGGCCCCAGAAAGATATATCTTAAATGTGTCAAATTGTTTGAGGATTTATTATGTTATATAGAGCCAGATTGATCCTAAAGGGAGAGAGAGAGAGGGAGAGAAATGGGGTTTAACATGCACTGGACACAAACTAGGTCATTTCGGGACTAACACATGGTTCAATTCTATTTCCATAATTCACTTGCACTTAGGGGTCTTTAGGAGTGGGGGGAAACCAGAGGACCTGGAGAAAACCAACACAGTTAAACAGGCAATCCTTGATCTATAAAACATCATAATTTTAATAATAGTTTATTTGTGTTTTTATTTGATTGAAAATAATAACTAAGCCCCCCCCCCCCCCCCCCCCCAACAAATGTTATGCACTGGGTCCCATTAATATTAAATTTGTCACTGATCAGTAGTTGGCACTCTGTAATAGTTAACTTGTTTAATCTACTGTGGGCTGCAATCTGGGTATATAATTTTTTCCTGGTCACTACAAAAGTACAAATAGTATACTTTCAGGTATAAAAAAAAGTTTAGATGGTCGAACACATGCATGACCCAAGCATACTCGGGTAGTTAAAGCTATTGGTCCACCTATTTCTATATACAATAGATGAACAACAAGAATTTTTCTAAAAGTTGATTCATGTATTTGTCATAATTATCTATCTTTTCAGATATGGTAGACCTTCTACTTTAATCATCATAAGATATAAACAGAATAATAAGGTAATTATTATTTTAACACTTTAAATTACATTACAAAATCAAGATAAAGTGTGCTGGTTTCTCATAGCATTTGTTTCAAGATTAATTTGAGAAAATAATTAGATACAAATAAAATTTAATTTTTTTTTAAAAATGACTGATTAAATTATAGCAATGATCATGAATCTATCTATTGATCATAATCAAAGGCTTAGTCTGAAATTAAAACATGGTCTGTTATATTATTTGTTAATATGATTTTAATATGAATGATTCAATTTGAAAGGTCTATATTAAATACCTTGCTAGTTTTTTCTCCTGTAGAATGGGTATTTCAGTACTAAACAAAATAAATAGATACGTCTTCATATAAACACCTTTTATACATGTAAAAATATTAAAACAAATGGAAAACAGAACCAAAAGCAGCAATAAATGATCTAAAACCCCAAACATTGAGTGCATTATTAGTTAGAAGATAGGTTGCCTGGCAATGAAACATACGCCTGCAGCAGCTAAATCGTCCGGGCAGTCAACAAGAGTTGTCATATATTTTTACTTTTGTCGGTAATGAAACATTTATAATGCACTCAAATCTGATTAAGAGTAACAACTCATTAAGTAATTATCAAGAGTTGTCGCATATTTTTACTTTTGTCGGTAATGGAACATTTATAATAGTATACACTAAATTAGTCATTAAGTAATTATCAGACAATCATTAGAATTTGTTTGACCCATGCTAACGTTTAGTAAACAAAACATTTAATATCATGGATATAGCTGTTCAAGTTATCAAAAATCATTGAAAATCAATTTACTTGTTCATCTCAAGACCTTCAACTCTGTATCAATCTAAAGTCAATTGAAATGATTATATATAGGCGTAAACACGATGTATAAATGTAAAATCAATCAGATGATAACTATGGTCTCTAAACCATCCACAAGATTTTTCAAATTGATCAAGGGCCATAACTCTGACAGTAATTATTGGAAATCGCTGAAAATCAATAGGATTCTTTGTTTGATGACCTTAAACACTGTGTATAAATTTAAGGTCAATCGGATAATAACTTTAGCCTCTAGAGCTCCACAAAAAATTTCAAAGTAATCAAAGGCCATAACTCTGGCAGTAATTATCAGAAATCGTTGAAAATCATACGTCTTCTTCCTCTGATGACCTTAAACACTGTGTATATATTTAAATCGGATAGAGCATCCACAAGCAAATGTGAACACCGGACGGATGGGGGCGACGACAATAGAAGACATTTCAATGTGGGCGTATATAAATTAAAATATAATCCTGAACCAAAGTGTTTTTTTAAATATATATTTAAACTCCATCAACACAATTTGCATTCTCAATACTCCACATCATTTATAAAGTCTGTTAATGTTAATGGCAATGTTAAATCAGGATTCAAAGAATTTAAGAGGGTTGCTGTGGAACGAAACATATGCCCCCAGGAGCTAAGTGGTAAGAGAAGTCAATGAAACTTGTGGCATGGCGATTCTTTTTTAAAATACTAATAAACATCACTAGTTTGTTCATAAGAGTCTAGAACATAACCATCGGCAAAACAAACAAATTTAGAAGTAATTAATGGAAATTGTCGTAATTTCAAGCAGATTAGATGATACCTTCGGTTGCTTCAGCATTCACAAGATTCTACAAATTGGTCAGGCACGATAATTAACTATGAGAAATTATTGAAATGTGTTTCATCTCACTAATCTGAACAGTAAGCATTGTTGTTTATTTTATTACATATGAATTTGAAAATTTTGTTGACACATGAATTTTAGTTGTGGTCTGACACCGTCTGCTTAAATAATAAGAGTTATGCTCTTTCATTTTCAGTAAAATGTCTGACAAGAAAAATTTTGAAATACCAACACTGGTAAGCAATATATATGAATTTCAAATTATCATATTATAACTACTGCTGTTAGAGCATTCACAATATTCTACAGTTGGAAAATAAATGTACTCTCTAGAGTGCTTAAAATCGATAATGGACAGACATGGTGCAAGGGCAATATACAACTCAATTTCGGTTTTAGGATACACAAGAGTTTTAAATCATGATTTTTAAAATGAAAACCAAAAACACAAAAAAACAAGCCAAAACTCAATTTTAAGATTGCCTGTCTATGATAATGACATAGTGGTTTTAAGCATCCTTGGCCTCTATCTATAACATTCACTTAATGGTTTTATATTACAATCAATGCTGTCAGGTATACAGGACCAGGACATCCTTTCTTGTACTGAGTAAGAGTCCAAGGCTCCAGGTAAGCGTCTTTAATGTTAGACAAATACATATACAGGAAAGTTTTCATTCACAGTGAGAGAAGGCTAAGAACATTTTCAATTATGTAAATAAGGTGAAACAAATGTGGAGAAAAAGACTCACCTATATCTGCTAAGGGATTAAGAAACTAACTTATTTAAACTGTTTAAAGATTAGATTTGTTTCTACAACATGCTATTAATTAGGACGGGGTACATCTGTCCAAAATTGTATTGCAATATATTGTGATATTATCATATTGTGAAGAGCTTTGTATATATTTATGGACTTTTTAAATAAAATGTCGAAATTAGAATCTTAAAAAGTGTTTTTCCATAGAATAAAATTATACATAAAGTATCTGATCGTCATTTGAGGGACTTTGAATCTCTTGCAAACTACAATATTGTGAAAGGCGAATCTCTAGAAGGAATATCAGTCTAAAAATTGTTTAATTCCCTTTAGTATTAACAAAGATATGAAGAATTGAACATTTTTCAACATTCCGAATCCTCTGTCGACAATATGGTCAAAACCAGTCAATGCCACCTATAATTTTCAAATGAAATTTTTATTTTTTGATATGTCTGCATTTGATCTGATTGATTTCCAACATGGGATATTATCTACGTTGATATTTTGTTTTCTTAATTAAACAGTGAATAATCAATGTGAGTACATGTTAGCATGGATTAAGCTGTGGGAAATTATATATTGTACGAAAGATACAAATAATGATCAGCAACTTTAAAATTCAAACATTCTATACAACAAATTACATATTGTGGAAATTCTGAAATAGTTCATTTTTGGACAATCCTACTATCAATATTTGATATTATTATAGAAATCCTAAACCTTGATATAACAGAGGAATCAAGAATGGACATAAAAAGTGAAATGATAAGGGAGAGGAAAGGACAATAGTTTGTTATTGCAGTCATATCCTACCTGATAAATGCAAGTGATGGAGCCTCAGTATCTTGTTGGTTACTATATATGTAAGTAAGAGGTTATGGCAGTGATTATATGAATCTGTTTTAATATTACAAATAGTATGTAAAACATATCAGTTTAAGCGACAATTTATCTGATATTTCAGTAATTTAAAATAATAGATTTCCAATGTCCCATTTTATCAACAATTTTTAAAATATGGGATTTCAGCTGCTCATGAATTAAGTTAACTATTTAAATTACATAAATTACAACCATTCAGTAAAATCTACTATAAATGTACCTAGAACCCAGGGAATATGATAAGCGATATCGCATCGCAGTTAACTAAACAAAAATGACGTAAGTGGGAATCAAGTATTAATTTGATTAGCAGACAGTTATTGAATTTAAAGGAATCTGCGCATCAAGTTTCTTGTCCTAAATAATTTAGGCGTGAAAAAATGTTAATCAAACGTTATTTACCGTTCCACTGCGTACGGACATTTTAATTTAATCCCCTTGATGTCGGTCGACTAGATTAAAATTAGTCAAAGATTAGTCAATAAATAAATTGTAAGCTAACAGTCATTCAGTTCACGATCTAACGAAGTAATAAGTACAGACGTTATATTTGATTATCCTGTAAATATACAAGCTTGATAATTATTCATTAAACAATAATTTTTATCTGTAACCATTTCCCTTCGTAAGAATTGACCACGTGTTCCCATCTGGCAACCCATTTTAATCATTTTCCATTCACTGAACAACAAAATATTCCGTAGGCTATAATAATACGAAAAATGTATCCACCCGAAATGTGCACTGTTATTAGCTATACACATCAGTTTAATTTTTATTCGTTTAACAAACTACTTTGCAACTAAAATGGCCTTGGTTCATTTTGGCGGGAAAAAAGGTCACGTGGACAAATAACAACAACGTGGCGACAATGCATACATTGCATACAGGTGTCGATGCTACAATGGAATTTTAATATACCGTTTTATAATGAAGACAATCAATGTTTCGACAGATATTTTGCTTTAATTTTCTGCCGTGTAAATGAAGACATGTAATTTTGGAGGAATATTACTGGCGTAAATGTGAAGCAGGTATCCTACGGTCGTACGGGTCGGTACGCTGTCACTATATCGTATTACGAAAACACCTAATTTTCTAGGAATATTACGGACGTAAATTTGAATACTCTACGGGAATTGAATATGAAAAATTACCAGGTGTGCCAATTGTTGGCGATACCGGTAGAAATTATTGCCTACAGAAATCTTCAATACAATACTGTGAAAATTTACATATTTGCTATTCTATCAAGAGGAAATGCTAATCAATTTTCAGATTGATTAGCACTGTTTTTCTAGACATCCAATAAGTGCTAATCAATTTATTTTTCTTATCATATACCCTGCTAGAACCCTGAAGAAATAAATTGTCACTTGAACATTTATTCTACTGTAACTAACAAAAAAGCAATTCACCAACCAACTAAATTTCACAACAATCATAAATAGAAATAAAAACAAATCAATTACCCGTTTTCCGAGGAAGCTTTAGGCGATAGGGAACCTTCTTTTATTAATTTTGGAGGTGAAGGAGAAGGGGATATTGATTTCTTCTTATCTTTACTTCTATCCCGACTTGTTGATCTACTTCTTTTACGACTCCTTTAAAGCAAAAATAATCTACACTGAATACTGGAAAATGACCATACACAAATAACAACATAAACAATAATAAAAGACTTCCAAACTAAAAAGGGTTATAGGATCTTAAAGTTTTAAATTTGAAGTTCAAATCAAAAGTTGTTATTTAAAGAAGGGGTTCCTCTAAATGTTTTGTGACTTTTTCACTTAAAGGTTACTTGTTTGATAATAAAAACAATATATTATATAGTCGACAATATAAATACACACTGAAATAGAGGAACAATTTCTTTTTAACAATCATCAATTTTGTAGTCATAATAACTATGAACTTGTGGCCATTGTACACAAGATGTGAAACTGTCAATCACAATACACTTAATGTGAATTTTATTCTCATCGTCCCAACACAATTAGAAAATTATATTTCCAGGATTCACATCAATTTATAGCCAACCATAGGTTAACTCCTATTTCTAACAAGAACATAAATTAAAGATATATTATAGGAGATTAGATAAAGAGCTGGCAGTTCTCACTATAATAATAGTTAAAAACTAGATAATGTAAAGAGAATTTGCTGAAAATTTTAGTCAAATTGATCCACTCTGAACAGAGATTTTAGTGATTGAACTTTCGACCTAGCCTCAATCATCATTACTAAAGTCGGTACGATAAAAAAACATAGTCTTGATTATCCATTTAATGGTTAAATCATGAATAGAAGTCGAACAGCAAATCGGAACCTAATCCAATAAACATCACAGGCTAGCGATGACATCGATAGTTGATTATGGTATGTTTAAAGCGAATAAAAAGTTGTTTTGAAAGTTAATTGTTTAAATCAATCCCTAAACCAAAATGTTCTGTCATTCGCGAGCTATTTCTCAATTAATTCTTATTCAGTTGTTGCAACTGGTATTGCAGAAGTAGTTGTCACATCTCATGTATAATGGCAGAAAGGCTTTAAAACTTTTAATAAAAAATAATATAAAGCTATAGATGTAAAGCAGAGCACCACAGGCAACCCAATATTATTACGTGTTTCTACAAACCTGGACCTGGAACGAGATCGTCTGATCTTCGAAGCAAATGCTTTAGGAGGAGTTTTTGATCTTTTCCTACAAAATAAAAGATAATTTATAATAATTTGCAATATTTTTCTCGGGGATTATCACTTACATGTACATTTTTATTTCGCTTAATGAAGAACCTTATATTGAGGACTTAAAGGACGATATCGGTGTCAGCCATTACCACATATGTGATAGAACTGGTTAAACACGTTCCAAATATAATTTAAACACAGAGATCATTGCTATGATAGATGCGTAACGAAGATTTGAAGAAATGGAAGTGACTCAAAAAATGGAAAACAAGAATCATTCTTCTATATAACTGACTGAAGTTACGAGCGATAACCGATACACAGGCAAATTTCTGCACACTGAAAATTCCTTCGAAGACAAAAAGTTGTTATATGAGACTGTGAGAGGACATCTGACAATTTATAAAAAGAATTGACTGTCAATAGGTAAGAGAAAACTAGAAAAATAGATATAGCCCGTACATTTCCTTTTTTTTTTATACTATACTTAATAAAAACAAGGTAATGCATGGACTTTGCCAGTATATCTGTTATCGCTCGTTACTTCAGTCAGTTATACAGTAGGATAACTCTTGTTTTCAATTTTTTGCGTCACTTCCGTTTCTTCAAATCTTTGTTACGCATCTATTGTAGCAATGATCTCTGTGCTAAAGTTATATTTGGAATGTGTTTAATCAGTTCTATCACATATGTGATAAAAGCTGAGACCAATATTGTCCTTTAAAATGCAATTAACTAGATAATTTCAGGACTAACATAAGGTTCAATTTTATTTCCATAATTCGCTTGCAAGTAGTGGTCTTTAGCAGTGGGAGAAAAACCAGAGGACCAGGAGAAAACTCATGATGTTGGACAAGCAGGGTATCAAAATAACGCCACTTGACTCAATGACAGACCTTATGATCTAAAGCATGTGTGGCGTACAGAGAGAGCGGGGGATTCACATCCACTTAACAAAAGCACAATATTACGGGACGACAATATACGACTACATTTCAATGTGGGCGTATAAAAATTCAAACTATAGAATTGGAAAGAAAATATTTGAATTATCATATCATATTTTCTTTATTTCAGTCTCCTGTACTCTTTATTTACCTTGACCTGGATCTTGAACGTTTAGATCTGGTACGTGACCTTGATTTTGACTTTCTTCTGTCCCGGCTTCGTGATCTCCGTGACCTGGAATAGATATAAAAGATAGATTGCCAGGCAACGAAACATACGCAAACAGCAGCTAAATCATCCGAGTGGTGACTAAGGGTTGTTGCTTATCTATTCTTTGCAGGTAATGGGGAGGCATTTACATGACAATTTCATACAGTTCAGGTTGTAATTTTCGTCACTTGAAGGTTAAAAAGGCCTTAACTAAGGAAGAAAATTTACAGTAATTGTTGAAATTCGACAAACTTTTTCATTTTACTAATTTAAATAATGCATATAAATTTCATGGGATGATAACTTTTGTCGTTCGACTCTTCACAAGGTTCAACAAAGTAAAACCAGGGCCATAACTCTCAAAGTAATTTACATAAATTGTTGAAATTCAATAGGATTCTTTGTTTCACTAATTTAACTGATGCATATAAATTTCATACAGATTGGATGATAACTTTTGGCATTCGAGCTCTCACAAGGTTCAACAAAGTGAAACAAGGGCCATTACTCTAGAAGTAATTAACGGAAATTGCTGAAATTTAATAGGCTTCTTTGTTACACTAATTAAATGATACATATAAATTGGATGATAACAAAGTGAGGTTTAACAAAGTGAAAGAAGGGCCATAACTCTAGAAGTAATAAACATAAATTGCTGAAATTCAACAGACTTCTTTGCTTCACTAATTTAAATTATGCATATAAATTTCATACAGTTTGGATGATAAATTTTGTCATTAGAACGTTCATAAGGAGCAACAAATTGAAACAAGGGCCATAACTCCAGAAGAAATTTATGGAAATTATTGAAATTAAAAAGGTTTCTTCATCTCACTAATGTAAACAACATATATCAATTTCAAAACAATCAGATGATAAATGTAGTCTGTTGAGTGTTCAAAAGAAATTGTGGACAACGGAAGGACAGACAGGGGCGACGGCAATATGCGACCACATTTCCATGTGGGCGTATAAAAAGTAATACATGTACCTACAATTAGAAACAATAACAATAAAAGTGCTGCCTCATTACACCACATAATGGATATACATACAGGCAGCAGTAAATAGAAGTTCCAACTTAACCTAACTCAATACTATTCATAACATGGTTATTATTTATTACAACTGTAAACAACTGGCAATGTTGAAATTCTATATGAATCTTAGCATCATGCACCTTCTTAAAACTTTTTAACGATGCAACATCAACCAGTTGAGTGTTATAATAAATGATGCTTCGTCAAGTACATGTAGGGTACTAGGGTCGGGGTTGTAATGATATCAAGTGGTAGAATGAATGATGTTTAGCCAAGTAGGGATAATGACAAGTGGTAACAACATTAATAAAGTATTAGAGTTTCATACTAGTAAAGTATGTAAGTTTGGAGGAGAGCTTTCACCATTGTCATTGCATTTTATTCATTACTAGGGTCGGGGTTGTAATGATATCAAGTGGTAGAATGAATGATGTTTAGCCAAGTAGGGATAATGACAAGTGGTAACAACATTAATAAAGTATTAGAGTTTCATACTAGTAAAGTATGTAAGTTTGGAGGAGAGCTTTCACCATTGTCATTGCATTTTATTCATTACTAGTGTTAAAATCAAATACTGATTTTACTATTTGAATATTCTAAATTTATGTCCTTAATTGAATGCTATTTGAATATTCAATTCAATTGTTAAAATATAGGATTTTCTAATTTCTACAAATTGTCAATCTTTCAAGAATAATGAGTACCAAAATATCAGGTCGAACAGCTTTGATAAACTATTTGTATGTCAGTATTTGAATATTAGTAGTATTGAAATATAATTTCAACCATGCACAACCTGAAGTACAAATTGTTCTGTCTTTAGTTAACAAATTGATGGTTTGGGTGAAACAGTCATCCACTGTAAATAAACAAAGCAGCAAATAGGCTATGACAGTCTGTGATCCAATAAAATCCAGTCATGTGTTTGCAGAATACAAAGTGCAGTTATTGCAGCATGTACAGCTAGTATTAAGTTCATAATTTGACAGACGACAGGTCAATCTGTTAATTAAAGGCAATATCAGTTAATAAATAAAATATCTCTAAAAATCTTTTTAAGATGAATTCTATATAAATACACAAGGCAGTTTAATGAGTAAGGTGCTGGTACACTAAGTCATATATCCTTCCTGGTTAATAAAATAGGTTCTGAAGTATATCAATGAAAATTATTTGCTGAAAACTAAATATAACATTAGACAACGTCCATAAGTCACATACAAATAGTTGGCATGGGAAAGAAAGGAATGGGGTTTAGAAAAGCACAAGAACCCCACATCAGGAAGTAAATTTAATTATTTTTGAAAAATATCATTAAAAAAAAAAAAACCTTAAAGAGGCAATACTCAAGAGCTAAATCTGCCTATTACAGGTCTAAATATAACATTAGACAACGTCCATAAGTCACTAACAAATAGTAGGCATGGAAAAGAAAGGAATGAGGTTTAGAAAAGCACAAGAACCCCTCATCAGGAAGTAAATTTAATTATTTTTGAAAAATATCATTAAAACAAAAACTCTTAAAGAGGCAATATTCAAGAGCAAAATCTGCCTATTACAGGTCTTTCTTTACGCCTTAAGGATGTTGAATACTCTAAAATGCACATTTTAAATCTAGCACTGTAAGTTGTGTGCATAAGATATGCCATGTTTTGTTATTTGGGTTGATAAAGTACTTATTAATCACACAAAAAATACCAATTTTATTTACCAACAATGTTCCAAACTTGGCCCAAAAGCATGATAACAAGCAAACAGTTTTCATGGAAATTATATAGGTTCATGGTAAAAGTATAGGTTATAAGTGACATTTTGACACCAATAACGTTAAAGATAGGTTGCCAACAAAACATATGCCCTAATTTGTCCAAGCAGTCGACAAGGGTTGTCGCAATTGTATTCTTTTGTCGGTGACGGAGGGCATTTACAAGGTAATTTCATACGGATCAGATTATAATTTTGATCAAAGGCAATAGTAAAAGTAAAACAAGGATCATAATTCTAGAAGCAATTGACAGAAATTATTGAAATTCAAAAGGATTCTTCGGTTCAGTAATTTAACTGATTCATATAATTTTCATACAGATCAGACGATAACTTTTGTCATTAGAGCATTCAACAAGTCAACAGTGGGGCTGATGTCCCCCGCCGAAATCCCAAAATAAATAGATGACACATATCAATTAATTGCACATTTATTTTTTTCAAAAGTACATGTAGCAAGCAATCAAACTGATTATCAACTATACATTAAGTTGCATCACTTTCTATCAGATAGAATCAAAGTTATCTTGTTCTAAAGCATCCACTAATAAAATTGCTTAGCTCTGCTTAGCTTTAGCTCGAATGTTAATCATTGAACTCAGTCAAGACGAACATCTACATCAAGTTTAAACATTCTACCTCAATTTCTTCGAAAGGCGGGGGACAACAAAGTGAAACAAGGACCAGAGCTCTAGAAATAATTAACAGAAATTGCCAAAATTCAATAGGTGTCTTCATTTTACTAACTTAATATAAATCGGATGACAACTTTTGTAAGAGCGCTCAAGGTTCAACAAAGTATTTTAAAATTTTTGTTCATTATTTACCTTCATACGAGATTTGGGGTAAATTCTTGGAATATGAACACTGGGCTATTTAGAGTGAGGTACTTGCATAAACTTCCATTAAAGATACTTTCCCGGGTACAAACTGGGTGATTTGGTGATATATTTGGACTAAAAACATATTCAAACTAATTAATTTATCATAATTTTGCTTCAAATCCTTCTCAAAACATTGCAATTGTCAGGGAATACCCGGCTATAAAAAATCGATCAAAAGAGGTCATGTTTGTGTCACGTGACACAATGGGTGCGATGTCGGAGGAGAATTCATTGCATAGATAAGACGATGTTGCCTTTATTACAAATATTGAAGCCTAATTAAATTCTCGGATTATCCACTGCCTGCGTCTTTTTCCGTGATTTTTATCTCAGAAAGTGTTGTGCGTCTAACTCTTCATAAAGTTTATCAACATGTACATCAAGCGCTCAATATCCTCGTGCAACGATCGACGTCACGCGTCCAGACACTCCTAATCGTCGGGCTGTCGATTAGGGAAACACATACATTTTTGTCCTGTATGCGCTCCATGAGTGTTTTTCAGGGAATCCAGTATTTTTCTAGTAAGATTGGATATTTCTACTTTCCATATATACCAAAATTGCCATATTTTCATTGGAAATAACCACCCGATAAACACTTTTCTGGGAATGTAGCTTTAAGCAATCACAAAAAAAATGACATTTAAAAAGTTTATCTCGAGAATGGTTGGCTAGATTTGTCTAAAGCTTTGCATTCAACCGAATTTTAACATGAAAATTGAAAATTAATTTTTATCAAACCACTGAAGACCTCCAAAGTTTAATGCCATTTCTGCATAAAATAATTTTTATTTTTATGGAAGAAACCACATTTATACAAGGCTCTTCTAAAATCAACTAAAGAACAATTACAAGTTTACAAATATTGGGCATCCCTGTAACTTTTAGTTTTCAAACAATATTTTTATTCAGGATATCTGAACAGATTGGTGAACAGGCTTTGCCATTGTAAAACTCCTGTCCCTGAGATTTGGCAACAAAAAAATGTTAAGACTTCAATATAGACAACAAATGAACAGAATAGTGCCACAATTTTTACTGTCCTCCTGTAAACTTCAATAACTATTATGTCTTTAAACCAGTGATGGGATTTCAAAATATTTGTTGTCAGACATTTTTACCGAAAATAAAGGGACATTACTCAAATCATTTTTATCATCTATCTCTTCCCTTTGCCCTAAGCATCTCTTTTCACTCTCATCATATCATTGTCTACAACAACTTCCACCATGCATTCACCTCTCTTGAAGACGACATAATAAACTCAAATAGTAACAATACAGTTGACATGGTTAACACTACAATGCAGGGTTGGTTCTGAGAAGAAATATGAATG